AGTGATTCCATCACAATAAAACAGTGTCAATAAAACATCGTTGTCAGTGCATTCTCTCATAAAATTTTCGTATAAAAATGACGGGAGAGTGAGTAAGTAACTATAACAGATATATTATATCGCCTGTAAGTACTACTGACATAGCCTACAGAAATCGGTAGCTTGACTTACAAGTAAAATATAATTACAATAGTACCTCCTCAGCACTTGAAGTCGGTTAAAAACAAGACAGGCCAACAACATACTTATAATAAGCTTTACAAGTTATAAAACAGACTTATAAAGTCGTCACATTAAATCACGAAGAAGACGGCTCGTAATTAAACTAAATGAGACTATTCTAAATATGGTAGCCATTTTCTCTAACACAAAACGCTGATTTTATCTTTATTAATCATTTCAATTTAATTGGCAATCTTGGAATTAATTTGGTTTCCCCCCATTAAACTCCATAGTAGGTAGGAGAACTACGATAGCAACAGATGCCTTGTTGTGCATATTAAAAAAAATATGCATCATCAAAAATTGTGTGCGGAAAAACCATAGACTTGTTATTGTAATAGCTATAGGACTATGACTAATATGGAAGATAATAATGACGTAATGTAAGAATGAGATAGGTTATCAGGGATTGTTGCCAACATCGCTTTTGCGAAAATATGCTACATAATAATATGTGACATTTTAACTCACTAAATAAAGAATTTCCCTATAAGTAAGTGAATTTAAAATAATACCATCGAACAGGAAAACAAACACGTTCCCCGTTATAACAACAATTTATTTTCAATAGTTTTACCACTTAATATATTAGGTACTGCTTATTTACAGTAAATAATGAGGAAAATATACTTAGTTGTTAGATCTAACTAATAAAAATAACGAAGGCACTGTTTAAACTTCAACATCGCTTGATGAAGAATACAAATTAAAGCATTTTACCTACCTTTATAAAACATAGGCATCGATTGCCACCCTTTGGAATTACAATAGTCATTTTTCAAAGCTTCCTGAACTTCCCATCTATTCTCCCTAGCTCTAATGTTCTGTACCGTCGCCATTTTTTTTGCATGACAGTTGACAATATTGACAGATGATGTGTATAGACAATGCACAGATAACTTACAATTATTGTTCACGTTCGATAGACATAATTTGATCAGTAGGTTGATGTTTACAAAAATCTTCTTTGACATAGGTCTCTTGGAAGCTTTCTTAACTGAAACTGGCAAAAAAAATTGAACAAAATATGAACGAAACAGTTGTGAAGTGCGCTAGTGCTTTTTGTGTAGACTTGATCACAATATTAAAAAGGCTGAATATTTTAATACTTTCTGGTACGAACATACTGATATCAATGTTTGTATTTAATTGGATTTTAAGTAGACAATTACCTACTTGCATTTTTACTTTTCAGTTGATAAGCTACTTATTCGATTCACGTAACACCCAGAACATTCGATTGGTCATTTCTATCATCTGCTTCAGCTCCCCAAAACTCCGTAAACACATTAGACAAAACATTAGTCTTTTCCCTCGTATTTAAACTGTCATTAGTCCATATTAAGTACAAGTCGGAAACAAAGCAGCCATTGTTAGTACTGCAAAGGCACTTACTGATGTAATCGATAAGGCAGTTAAATTGGTCTTCAATGTTTACATTGAACCAAGCGGCCCCTGACGTCATGGGTAGTCCCCCAACGCGATGACTCACAAAAATCTCACTAGCACCACATAATCTCTTCCCGTTTTTGTTGCTCCCTTCCTCTTAGACCTGTTCCCTAAGGGTGAGTGAGACAACACGAGCGACATTATCGCTCTTATTGCTCCAGGAAACGCTCCGGGAATAATCAACTCATTGAATTAATTCACACGAATCTAGAATCATCCGGAAAGTGGATTGTCTCTCTTTGCATTTTATTCATTCATACGCTTTTTTGAATACACTCCTTTCATATTGTAATTTAATTTTTATGTTCGAGATATTTTTATATCGGTGAGTTCAAAGTTATGATTTTGTTAATACCCACGGACTTAATTTCTCTCCATTCAATCAATCCCATGATATTTAAAGATTATCACGATTAACAACTATTATATCTAATAAGTAAATAGGCATTAATGAACCTTGTAGTGATTATCATATCCAAATATCACTACCGATAGTATAATCTATTAACAAATTAACATACCTACTTACACTCGTGACCACCAGATATTTTATCTATGTAAGTACTAAACTTCTTTCTAGTAAAAAATATGAATATCGATATTCAAATCTCTCATGTTCAATATGAAAATACTCAGAAGATTCAATAAGTACGTACTTACATGAATTCTATTGGAAAAAATAGTACGCAAGTGTATTGAATAGATACATGGCGAGCTTTATTCCGCCACTCCAGGTTAGTGCCGCCTCTCGGCGCGCTCCAATACTGTTGGTTCACGAACGTTCGAGTTGCGGGAATAGAAATAACTAGACTCTTCTCGTTACTTCGGGAACATTCTCCACGGTACACGAATGTTTGTTAGTTTTTCTGTAACCAGGTATTTATTTGAATGTTTTGATTTTATTTACGTTCAATAATTAGATTGATGTGCTTTTAGAAAATATTTGTTTTCTATCAATTTATTTAAGTATCTCGTGCGTTATTAAAAGACACAACTTTATCGAGTATGTAGATTTGATAAACAGTCATAAATTAGCATTTTTTTGGAAAAATCCTTAGTAGACAAATTAGATAAACAAGTTTTTCTATACCTAATACTCCATCAATAATACTTACGATATTAACGCCACAAACTTAAAATAACAGTCCCACAAGAAACTAAAACTCAATTAAAAGTTTAAAACTTAGTAGGTAAAATAAGTTGATAACACGCGAGAATGTTGTGTCGCAGCACTAGGCGGGAGTACAACCCTACGGAGCGGGCGTCGGTGGCCGCGTGATGGGCCATAAAAAGTTAAGTAAAACAATAATCAGTCGAGCGGGGCCCTTTAGCCCTTCGCCCTCTCTTCCCAACCGTAAACATTAAACACTCGCTATGCATAAGGCAAAAGCTTTTTATAATTTCCATAAAAAACAGGACATGAATATTTAAAACATTCTTACACTAATAAATTTGTTGTAAAACGTTACATCGCTATGTAGATACCTTTTTAATGATAATAACTTGACATTTTTAATAATAGATAAACTTAAATAGATCGATCCATATTACAACAGTTGTGGACGTCGCGTCGTAAAATTATATTAGGTACTTACCTACCAACTTGTACAGCGAAGAAATCGTCACAAAACAACAATTAATTTGTCTTCATACTTAGTGTTATTAGTAGAAAAAATATAATTAGTAAAACGTGGTTAGTATAGTTGGCAGATATGTGAAGCATTTATAAGGGCACGTTAATGAATTATTTATTTGTTGTATTGACTGCGGCGGCTTTTGCAATGCCACGCATTGAATTATCGATACCATAAAACATTACAACCACTTATAACTAATAGCAGCTTGATGTTGAAGGATATTCGATCATTTGTCTGTTTGTCATGTTACGCATTACGCTGCTATAGGCGTGTCTGACAAAATTGAGCAACTACAGAACATGTTTATGACAAATTAACCCGAGGTAGAGCTGACAGTTATTTATAAATTAATAGTCATATCATTAAAATCAGGTTAAGAAACATATCTGTAAAAACAAATCGACGTAGATCGAAGTATTAAGTTGTTTACATTTACACTTGTAAATGTAGGTACTGGTATAGGTCAACAGAAACTAAGTAGGAAGTAATCAATACGGAACTTCTACAAACAGAGTTGATATTAACAAGGGAATAGAAACACCTGGAAATATAGAATTGTTAGAATACCGTTGCAATAAAACGCAAACAAAGGAAAAATACAATCAAACGTTAGAAATATTTAAACAGATAATTGAGTAAATGAAAGGCTATCCGTTCACTGAGGCGGTGTTACAAGCCAACGCGGCCAAACCCGATCATTACATATTAACTATGCATACTGACGGTATTCTATTGAGAATCCATTATAATCTTAATAAACCCTTGCCGATAGACGTGTCTAATAACTTTATATGGCTTGTAAAACGTTATTATTTTCTTTATCGCCCATATTCACATATCCATTTACGCCAATATGCTATTTTTAAGGTCCATGTCAACCCAAAATTAAATAATATATCACTTAAATCGGTACTTAAGGTAACTGACTGATAGATGACCAAATACTCAAATGCCACTCAACTTTAAGATGCTCTTTCAATAGTGTTGCTTTAACAAGCAGTTGAATAACAAAGACAACATGTCACTATATCAAAATCGTTTCAGCATCAGACGAGAGAATTTATAGGACTTAATTGTCCGAAAAACAAAGCATTTTGAAATCAATCTTATCCCTTGGTGTGAATTAAAATCATTATATTAAAACTTATTTGAATGTAGAAACTATAATCGTTTATGAGATTTCATTCATACTTTTCCTTCCTCCGATAAAACAAAATTAAGGTCCAACCAATTCAGAACCTATTTACAATTCTACATCACTAGCGAACTCTTTTGAAGGAAAACTAAGCTCAGTCTTAAACGTGTCTTTTGAAAACTCCTTCACAGTAATGGACCTCTTTACATGCAGTACTCTTTACATTTATCGGCCCTTCCTTTAGTAAAATCCTCTTGAACTACATCATTTTACATTTAGTTTGATATAAGAATAGTCTTGGGACATTCAGAGAGCCTACAGGCAAATAATGGTGACGGCGACACAATAGAAATTGAATTTCTATGCAGAAAGTTGTTGGATTATAAGCTCAGACGGACTTAACTACAGTAGCTGCGGTATAATTTCTAACTTCATCTGAAATGGCATACGTGCTCTTCGTTTTATAAACTGCTTTTGTAATGGATGTGACTATACGATGTAATGAGTTGTCATGCAGCTTGTAAGATACACTTGATTAACAAGCCCCCGTTTTGTTTCAGGTAAGCCGGTGTGCACGTGCAGTTTGTGTGACAGAATGCCACGCAGCACAACCTACGGTGAGTTTCACAATAAAAAATCAAACAACCTTGACCTTTCTCACAACCACTTTGGACAGAGGTTGCAAATTACAGAGCCCAATTTACATATTTAACATCACAGACTCAGTACGGGAACATTATGAATATAATCGCATTAACCGTGTTTTCAGCCTTTGTCCAATTGAATCCTCGGTGCAGTAATCAAGTGGGTACGGGAGTGGGTCAGCGGGTCGTTCCGTCCCGGCGCGCTCGCCCGCATCGTCCCGACTCCCACCACCGCGCTCCCATGTTACATTATTCACAAATATAACTGACGATAAAAACGGCCAATAAATATCTCACCCCTATGTTACGCACCACATAAACTCTTGAACTCTTTTGTTTATCTCGAGCGATGCCATACGACGACGTCTCTCTAGCAATATAATAGAATACAATCCAAATGTCGAATTCGTTAATCGTTAGCAATTCATTTATTTTCTTTTCCTTATTTATTCACGTGATATCATTATAGATCGATGTCGAACGTCGAGTGATCTGCGAAGTCTTGTTTGTGGAGTTTCTCACTTGATTATGCAGTGACCTCTATTATTTCTGAGCTTTTGAATTTGACAATCGGAGTCATAAATACAATTAAATCGGTTGTATCCTTTCACATTTCAATGCGAACCATAGCAGATTGGGTTACATCGGCCTTCGGATCGGAGGCGTATTATGTTTCCCCATACATATCTTAATCATAGAGTGTTCTGTATTTAACGTCATTTAATACCAGCCCAATAAACCCGCTCACTAATTGCTCGGTTAAATGTTGACGGCAATTTAATTTCGTCATTCTGTGCGGCTCTCGCTGGCGCAACCCTCGGCTCGATGAGAGGAAGTACGCACCGGTTGCTTCCCTCGGTGAACTTAACTCCACGTCTTCGGTTGAACCTCGTTCGGTTCCATCGGGTGATTAATAAATAATATAACTTGTTGGCCCGCATCGTGCGCATTAATAACTTTAAAGAGTGATCGTGGTGGCATCGTTTTATTTCAACCGAACACTCCTACACCCAATCTATTATTTCAATTCAACTACTATAATTACAGCGATTCTATTCGTGTCGTAAGCGGCACTTTCTCGATTGATTTGTCGATATAATTAGCCGTAGGGAATCTCGTCTGTATACTTTGTCGAAGCAATCGCGGCATTGCCACCCACGGTACCTTTTTACGATTTAAATAAAATCGTGCTTACTTCTCTCGGAGCGTTTATCGTTCATCTGGCGATATAAAACATCTATTTTAGGTTGCGTTTAAATATTGACGATAATAATAGAAGCCGTCACGTCTGTTATCGTCAATTAATCTAAACATAAACGTACCACCTCCTGATACTACAGTTAATGAATGGTCATTTTTATTATTGGAAACCATTTAATTAGGTTAATTAGATGTTTTTTCCGAAGCACTTAATAAATTATGTGTACGCTTCACGAGTATACGGCGCGTGTTAAAATATTTTAAAAATAGTGATTGGGGTTAGTGGTCTATTTTAAAAGTTACTGGTGACACTGTAATTACATGTTTCTTTTTACTGAATATTGTGACAGTGAGGATTATAAAAGTATTCAACAATCGTGTCGCTATCACTGTAGGTATGATTCAACAGCTATTTTTAATTTGATTAATGCACAAATGTTTTGTATTGCCTATTTACAACGTAATTAGCATTAATTTCAGACGTCAATTCTGGTGTATATTTTACTTTTTGACCTACAATGTGCTACTAGCACACGTGTATTAGAGTCCTTAAAACTTAATAAACTATTTAATTCCGGGTTTAAAACGGTAGTATATAAAACCAATCGTGGGTGATGTAAACTAATGAATAATAATAAAAAACTTATTATAGCAGTTAGCGCAGCCTGAACTAAACATTTCCTATTTCCTGATATTTCGTTAGATGTGATCTCATCGTCGTTATCTTCATTTATTTTATCAATATCCGTACTCGTCTAGATAATGTAAATAATGTAGGTACCTATGCGTTATGTAAATCGCGCTAATTTTTGCGAAGGCCGAGACCTCGCAAAAAGCAGATTCGACCTCGCGTTTATCATTGTCGTGATATCTTGATATGCGCACTAACTGCCTTTTGATAGCCTTTACTTCTGTGGCTTCCTACTGCCCTGGTTAGACGCGTACGCGACGTTAACTTACAAAACAGTTAATTGTTTTATTATCATCTATAACTAGTACTAAGTTATGTGGAAAAAGCTGTACGCCAGTAAGTCCACTCATATTTTTATATATTTTATTTTTTTTGCAAGATTTACGGCAGTACGCTTCTTTGTTTTTGTTCATTGGTCTCGTGTGGCCGTTCATTCATTCAGTCGGTCATTCGACCTTGACACGCAAATTAATTATCTATGCACGGATCGGGAAGTGTCAAAATATATGCCTGACCAAACTAATTGTTTTTTTTTGCTTTTTTTGTTTTTAACTTTCTATATTCCGCGTTTTGTTCTTTGTTCGTTGTTAGTAACAGGAATAATGTTGTAAATGTATTGAATTGTAATAATTTTAAATAAAATAAAGCCAATTAGCTTATGATTCAAGTTTTATCTAATTGCGTCTATTATTTCCGTCAGACACCAATGCCTTTATGGTATAATAAAATAGTCCAGTCCAGGGTGTACTCACTCATATAAGTACTTTATGTTTATGTATACTTAGAAACAAACAATTTATTTATAACACGTTATGTACAAATTAGTAATTATTTATATCTCTGTTTATTTATTTGTGTTCTACTTATATTATTTTAAACGTGGCTATAGATTATAAATAATTATAAAGCGTGCAATAGGCAGGGAAAATTAATATTAATACTGATTTATACGTATTATTACATAAACTGGTTACTACCTACACTTTCACCGTCGTATTAGGCGATAGCGATAACATTATCACTATGTCCTGTATAAAAATGTTTATTACAATAAACACGAGTCATTATTTACTGAACGCCACGTTGGTTGAATTTTTAGAACCGCAAAAATACTAGATTATTAGTAGATATGTTCAAAAAACTGAAAAGTCCAACAATATTTTGCCCGTCTCCTTGCTTGGCAGTCACTCTTCTTACCAATGACGTACTTAGACTAGTACGTACGTCATTAGTATTTAGAAATAAAAGAAAAAAGTTTAGACTGATGTAACTTACTAAGTTATTACTACTGTAATAATAAACGTGTCGTAATTATTATAATAACATAATGTATGTAAATAGTAAATGATAAATTATATATAGGTATACCTAGGTACATCATTTATTCCATACCTACCACTCAACATAATGAGCTGAGTTAATTTATCATCGTACTTAATAGAGTGCGACTGTGACCCACAATATGGCCGACACAATTGAAAAGTTCAATAAAAACAATCAACAAGAGTGGCCGAAGCGGCATTTTATTCAATTGCCTTCATATCTAAATTAGTTGCGATCAAATACAATATTGTGTGCAATAACATCAACATTTAATTGAGTCGTTCAAATTATTCATGTCCATTTTATTTTATGTGCAGAAACCCGTTTCTGCAAATACTGTTTCTAAAATTTATTGCATCACGAATTATTACTCTATTTAAATATCTAATTATATTGCGAGTAAAAAAACTACACAATTATCATTATTACAAGACTTCAAAATGACGATATAACTCTGTTCTATTTTTAAAATTTGAAAAAAAATACATTAAACAAAAGAGGTTTTCAATTCGAAATTAATATATTTTTATAACAGTCACAGTGTTGATTTAAATACATTGGAGCTTCTATCAATAATTAATATTAATCTTCCTTTCCCTCTATTATAAAAGTAATCTTAAAACTTCGTTGGAATCAACTTTTAGTATTCGAATCTCGTTTAAGCGATTGAATTTCCGAGCGCTTTGATTCTAATTGGGACATTTTTCTTTTAACTTTTCCCAACTTAAGGTTGGATAGACTAAAAATTAGATAAATACTGCCTACTTATGTTTCATTTTGAAAACTTCAGTACCTATTATTCTGAAAATATAATCTACTACTGAATAGTTACGTATCTATTACTTAATATTAAATTCATTACATAACACACACATAATTCTTGGCAGGTACATGAGTAAATAGTTAAAATATTAACATAAAAATATAGGCCTTCAAAAACCTAAATGACTAGCAACACAATCAATCCATCGTTACGTTTCGTGTTAATTATATTCAACGGTATATAAAATTATCATATTAAGTACCGCGTATGTTCCGACTATTAAATATTATTAATAACACATGAATCAAAGGGCGACCGTGTTAACCGCCATGCCATGTAAATAGGGTTGTCATTTTCAATTTTTGTTCACACATGCCCCGAACACCGCACTCAACCGAAACGCGACGGATTCCAAAGAGTTATCGAGGTTAAAGAGCGGATTTTTTGGAAAAATATTTGAGTCATCTTTCATTGATTTTCTCTAAACCTATAAGTAATAAAAGGCGTGTCTGGTGTAATAAAAATTATCATTAACAAATTTTTATTTCAGTACATTTTGGTAACATCCATAAACCATGTAACAGTGTCAGAATAGAATGATAAAAACGACTTTTTGTCAACCATATTGAGGAGTTCTCAAGAGTATTCAGCGCGATGTTTTATGGCTGTTTGCTTGTTTTGTAAATGCCACCGACACAAGGCTACAAGCAAAGTAAATTAACTTGCCAAATCTGAACTTGAACACGAACATTATTTACACCAACAATAAAATTGTGATGTCACACACATTATATTGTTTCCGCAATTAGATCGAGATAATGCACAACTGCGTCGTAATATTCAAATATTATTTATTGCCGTTGAGACCGCGGCAACCTTCATATGACCGTAAATTCGCATAATTGTTTTAAGTACCTCTAAAACCATGGATGCGTTTCATACTTTAAATAGATAGCAAAGTGACGAACAATTCGCGTTTAAAAGTACTTATTCTAG